ATATTTAGGTAGTTATATTCCATGAATGAATGCAGCGAAAATATTTAGGTAGTTATATTACATGTTCCTTAAATTAATACGGCGAGGTAGTTATATTCTGGTGTTTCATGAATGAATACAGTAGAGATATTTAGGTAGTTATATTCTGACGCTATAAGAATAAGTACGACAGAAATATTTAGATAGTTATATTCCGATTACAGATGAAATATTTAGTATATTCTGATGCTCCATGAATGTATACGGAGGAAAGATTTAGGTAGTTATATTCCGACGACAACTTAGATGGATGTATAGCGTGTGTATATTTCAACTGAGTTTCTAGGAATTTGTAGTAACTACCACGACTACAGCCAAAGAAGAACGTAGACTGAGTTCAAGTATTAATGGATCTATTGTTCTTGAACTAACAATATCACTAAACGAAACTAAGGTCATGAATATAAAACTCTTATATCCAATATCGTTACAATGCAACTCACGATTTCCTGAACGAAAGAGATGTATTTCGTTATGATGCGCTTAACGACACTCATTCCATTAATACATTACATATTCTGTCTACAAACACTTAGAGGAACGCGACTCGTTTCACGTATTCTTATTATTATTTTCTTGTCATTTTGTTTTTTCAAATGTAAATATTCATTTTGGTCGAAATCCTTATTATCACCATTTTTTTTTGTAAGAAAACGCGGACAAATGCAGGGTGAGAATTGGTGATGAAGAAACCAAAAAATGGTTCCGTTTGCAGGAGAACAACTAGTTTTGTTGTGCGTAAAGTACGATAACTTATACCTATCTACCTGGAGAAATAACCAACATCATTCAAAGAACCGGGGCGGAAAATCATCTCACCTCACCCTCACCCTACTCAAGTGTAGGAAGCAACACTAAACTCATAAAACCCGAAGGGCAGACTAAGACTTAGATAACTAGTTATATTGCATGTAACACAACGAACTACTTGTCCTTAATGGCAGTCTTTGCAAGATGTTAACTCCCACGTGGTCAGACTTAGGAAAAAAGAAATGAAAACTATGCATGATGGTGTTCCTTATAAAGAGGAAAAATTCTGAAATGCAAGAAGAAAGCAACCGATTAGACACCCATTACATGTGGCCAAATAACGTACTTTCAAGATATCAGGGATCGGGGAAATTTGAAGGTTTGCGGCTGTCTTTGTTCTCTGTATTTGGCGGGAATCTTCCTGATGAAAATATTGTGCGTTAAGCCAAAACCTCCCAGTAATTATGGAGGAGTAAATAAGAAAATGTGCTCGAAAAATTATATACGATGAACAAATAGGGTTATATAAGTACACAAACAATAGAAAGAGTAAGAAGTATCTTGGCAATAAGTTATCAGTATAATGAGAGGACGGTACCAGTTTGGGGTATGTAGAACTTTCCTCCTGCGCAAACTCATTTTCATCCATACGGAAATACCTATAATTTTAAAGTTTAGAATCCTCGTTCTTTTAAGTTATTCCATGTCATATTAAAAAAATCACTTAGTGTACATGCAACAATTCACATTTTACCATATTCTACTATAACACATCCGTAATAATAAACACAAAACAAAACGAAAACGTAGCATCTATTCATGAAATCGTGTACATTTTAATTCTGTTGTGACACGGGTTTAATAATATTACTGTCAGTCATAATTTTAGCGGAATTACACAGAAAAAAAGTAAAAACTAAGAACTCAAGAGATATTATTATTATTATTGCAGTAAAAGCAGACATATAATCTTAATTGTGACACGTGTTTGTTCTTGTGAAATTTACGTGTATTTTTATGTGCATGCAATAAAACGACAACTACAGAAACAAGCACCGTTTTCTACAAACATTAGGCTTGCTTAGCTATAAATTTATCTTGTAAGCACCCACTAAATTTTCTTACTAAATAGTGGAATCTAAAAAAGAAACAGTGGTTTACTATCACGGATAAATGAAGTAGTTATGACTATCTATAGGGTTTTGAGTCCGGATAAATGAAGTAGTTATGACTATCTATAGGGTTTTGAGTCCAGATAAATGAAGTAGTTATGACTATCTATGGGGTTTTGAGTCCGGATAAATGAAGTAGCTATTATTATCTATGGAGTTTTGAGTCCGGATAAATGAAGTAGCTATGACTATCTATGGGGTTTTGAGTCCGGATGAATGTGTGTAGCTATGACTGTCTATGGGGTTTTGAGTCCGGATAAATGAAGTAGCTATGACTATCTATGGGGTTTTGAGTCTGGATAAATGAAGTAGTTATGATTATCTATGGGGTTTTGAGTCCGGATAAATGAAGTAGTTATGACTATCTATGGGGTTTTGAGTCCGGATAAATGAAATAGTTATGACTATCTATTGGGTTTTGAGTCCGGATAAATGAAGTAGCCATGATTATCTATGGGGTTTTGAGTCCGGATAAATGAAGTAGTTATGAATATTTATGGGGTTTTGAGTCCGGATAAATGAAGTAGTTATGACAGTCTATGGTGTTTTGAGTCCACTTTACTTCACCATATAATTAATTTAGGTAAGTGAATAATGTTATGACATTTCGTCAAATTCATTATTCAATATTGTACAGCGAACCAACTGTTTAATGATTATATATATATATACACATATATATATGTGTGTTAAAGATTTCTTATTACTGACTCTTGCACTACCCGAGTTGAACAATATTAAAACAACGAGCGCGATTCAACACTTCGTTTCCTAGTACGTTATACCCCAATATTCTCGCTAACACTAATAGCGCCATCTAAAGTCACGTCTGAAATGATCGGTAGATTTCTATAGATCTATATGTCGATGACGTAACAGCCTTGGTCGGTCGAATCCCGGTACTAATACACTTCTTGTGGGCAAGGTTATAAATTATTTTCAGTGTTGTAGAACATAATAAATAGAGTATCAAAAACAGATGTTTATCAATATACAACGGCTGAGTTCAAAGAAAGTTAAAAGGGATTAGATTCTGAAACGCCTTATACCCACGAAAAGTTTTTGAATTCCAGAACCTTTGAAAAAAAGATCCGGTAATTGGACGTTTGTAAGAATGTTCTTGTAAATAAATGTGTTAATCTACAGACGAATTCTCAACCAGTAATAAACTGCCTAAGCTTCAAGGGTTAAAATTATTTAGATTATAGAAATAACTATGTTTGTACACCAGTTGCGACGTTTGTTTGTTTTTGAATTTCGCGCAAAGCTACACGAGGGCTATCTGCGCTAGCCGTCCCTAATTTAGCAGTGTAAGCCTAGAGGGAAGGCAGCTAGTCATCACCACCCACCGCCAACTTTTGGGCTATTCATTTGCCAACGAATAGTGGACTTGACCATCACATTATAACGCCCCCACGGCTGAAAGGGCGAGCATGTTTGGTGGGACGCGACCCTCAGATTGCGAGTCGAGCGCCTTAACCACCTGGCCATGTGGTTGCGACGTTCCACGCAGGGTCAGAGCAAGGTTGGTAATAATACAGTTACGGGATTGTTTCTGTAATATTAGTTACAAACAACAAATAAACTTGATTGATATTCGAGACAGTTAATCGCTAAATGTTTAACATAAATACAACTTTGGCAAATACTAATACTAATAGTGGTATTCAGTTCTCGATTTATAGGGGCGCTGTTAAATAACGTCTGTTCTGCGAAATCGCGTGAAATTAATTTTTTCGATGACTTAGATATCTGAAAATGGAGGATTAGTTAAAAAAGTAAGTCTCAAGTTTACTATGAACTTAACCAATGTACAGAACTGATTTAAACAAACGGGATTTAGAAGAGGAAAAGCTGCAGTCAGTCATGCGTAATAAATAAACCTCTGCGTGTTGTTAATGGTAGAAATGCACGTGCAACAAGCCATGTGTTGAGATCAGATGACCAATTTAGTAGCTTTATTTAAATACTGCTTTAATTGCAACCAAATGCTGTAAACTAAAACAGAAAATAATTGTGCATCTAACATGAAAAATATTTTATATATCTTTGAACTTAGATACTGATAAATTTTACAGCACGAAAATATACATATATAAACACTGCTTATTGTAAGTTATTATCTCTTACAAATTACAAGTATTATACTACGAAACTAATGAAAAGACATAAAACAAAGAAATAAAATTAACTACACAAACTGACATTAATAACATTATATATATTACTTCTCAGTTTCATAAAAGAAAACAATAGAACGTTCTAATACAATGTTTTGAAGAGTAAAATCATTCCACGAAACATGTCACGTGGAAATAAAACCCGAAACTTTCACAAAGCTCTTTTGTTTTCATTCCTCTTTTTTGTTATATCTTAATTATCGGGTCCTTAACCCGTTGAGAAAGAGAGAGAGAGAGAGAGAAAGAGATGGAGCTTTAATATTTTTTAATTCCAAATCACTTGAAGACAGCTGTGTGGAGACGATAATGAAAGGTGAAAACACTGTAAACTTCAAAACATGAAGTCCAACTGTTCAAGTTGTTTACATGAAGTAAAATAATTCAAACACTACAGACTCGGGGCAGTTTTATCCAATTGGCAAAAGGATGAGTTGCCCAGGGTTCATCGCGCGTTGTGAAGATAATAATAAATAATAATAATAAACCCGTATTTTAAGAAATTTACATTTTTACTTTCTGAATTTTTTATCACTAATACTTTTATTTCATAAAACTACATGGTATTTTCTCAAAATAAATGGTAATCAAGAGAGTGTCCCATTAGTTTATACTTCGCTCAGGGATCACAAGTGCCTTAACGCGGCACTGTACAGACTACAGCGGTAAAAAGAGTTAAATAATCTTTTACGTAAACACATAAAAGGTCCTCTATTTAAGGGCTCACATACACACAAAAATGCATAAAAGTTTCATGTTCATTAGATTAAATCACTCCTGGGGAAAATCTCTTACATACTGAAAAAACTTCCAACGTTCTGCTAGTTCAGTTCAGATTTTTAACATACAAAATATAAATTACCGAGTGATTTCCTCAAGCAGCTTGCAAGGATCTGAAGCGTAGAACTTGGCATTGAAGTACAAGGTACATGGGGTCGTACCTAAGAGGGTGAAAAAACAAAGTAATTCAACTGTGACCTCCTAGGATATTTAACGAGAGTAGCTTGATTAATTCAACGTGTTTTTGAAAATACAATAATACAACAAAATAAGTGAAAATATGTTTTCGTAATAAACCTGTACAAAGAAATTTAATAATTCATAATATATTAAAAACGTTTTTATATTTGGCGTTACATTACATTCTAGAAACCAGGGGAGCAAAGGTTGACAAAAACAAATGATTTTGTTACTTTTATCACGTTGTAGTAAGTAATTCTTCCGAACAAAGGATAAAATTTTGAATATATTTTTAAGTTATGTGTCTAAAAGAAACTAATGTACGTTCAGATCTGCACTAATAAGTTCAACTTAAATCTATTTTAAAAATATACTTCTACAAAGTTCTTTATGTCCATAAATACACTTTGGTTTTGAGACTAAAAATTGGATAAAGTTGTCTAACATTAATGCAAATGTAAATAGATTTTAGACATCATCAATATTTGTGTAAAGTGAGGAGCAAGGATGAGTGGTTAACGTGCTCAGACTCAGATTCCAAGACTTCCTTATTTGCGTCCAGCTTCCTTAAAAACGCATTTTGCTCTTTGATACTGTGGGTGCGTTATACGAATGAAGATCATCAAATCTCACTATTAGGTCAGATAAGAGTAGTCTAAGAGTTGGCGGTTAGTGCTGTTGACTAGTTGCCTTCCTTCTAGTCTATAAGTTCAAAATTAGGGATAGTGCAGATAGTCCTGGTGTAGCTTTGCATGAAATTGTAAAACAAACAAAGAGACGAGGGATAAAAAAGAGTTCTGTAAATGACAGATCATTAAAAATCACATAGAAAGCGGCTAGATTTCATATGAATTTCACTTTAATAATCAACGCGATGTGCGACTTGCACGCTAGGTCCTTCAGTGTCTCCCAAAAGAGTCGACTGAACTCGTCACGATGATACGAACAGCTGGCTCACGATAACTTTCAAATCAGCAAGAACACTCACGTGATCATGTTCATCTTAAATTACCCGAATAAGGGGTGGCTGAATCCTCACAACGATTTCACGGTTAGGTGGGGAGGGAGGGGGGGGGGTAGGAACTAGACATCTGATTTGTTTAAAAATTACTATAACTAACTGTAATATACATTAATTTTTAGTTATCCTATTAATCTGAATTTATACAAAATGGTACACCGAAAATTAAGGTGTCGTTTCACATGTGGAGTGTTTCGACAAAGCGAAAGTTTTTTGTTCACATGAGTAAATCTTACGTAGGCTCTAGCACAGCGGGGTAGATACCCTCACGGCAATCTCACACTTGCATTTAATGAACCATGAACTCACAGATCAGTTGCAGCTAATCAGCTTCAGACGTGAATAGAGACGAATGAAGTAATGTCAGTTAATTTATTCCTGTAGCGTTGAAAAAAGGCCAACAATTAAGATCTGGAAAAGAAGGATTGCCATTTACATTGCAGTAAAGTCAGTAAGGTTGTAACAAATTCAACATTTATATATATATGAGATATTAAGTCAGAAAATCATGCCCAGAGGACTGAACAGCAAATTTCCTAGGCGTAATTTATCAGCAATTTTTCAATCAAAACGTCAAAGTACAGGCAATAATACCAAACCTCATCACCTACGCGTAGAAGACCTAATAACGCTTTTTAAAATGTAGAAGTACGCCATAACAGAAACTTAAACAAATCTGAAGGAATTATTTTACAAATGTGTTTTGAGGCTAGATAACTTGAATTCTACGAAAAAAAAAAGAAAAAAGATGGCGTGAGGTGTACAGAATTTACTTTGGCTACCACAAGTACAAAACGAATCCCATAAGGCTGTTTCAACTCGAGTACTTAAACAATTCCTCTAAAATAACAGGACGTAAATCGTTTCAAGCCAATATAAATTTTTGTGATAATCTGATATTTGTTTCACGTTTTTATCTCAATATCATTGGCCTAAATAAAATATTCAATTGCGTAGGTGGAAACAACTCTGCTGTAGACATTATATCATTTTAGTTCGGTTTTCAACAATTTGTCATCTTTAGTTTGTCTACAATATCAAGTTAATTGTAGACGCAAGAAGAATATAATTTGGAATAACAAATCAGAGAAAAGTAGTTCAAATTTCTTTAAAATTAAGACACTTCTCCATCAATAAAGCCGACTTTCAACAGGAAACACCCATCACACCTTGCTTCAACTAATTAACAAGTTATGAACAGTAGGTGGCGTCGCCTAGAGCTATTTATCACAAACCTCCAAACTCGTACTGACCAATGAAACAACTACATGCGTATGTTTTTCAAACACAGTTTTATATATTCTAAACCCAGACACTACAGGAGACAATGACATCATGTTTTTAAATGTAAGAAAGGTTTGATTTTCTTCTTGATAAAGAATTCAGAAAGAAAAGCACCGATGAAGTTATTCTTCTCTTTATTGTCTTTCGGAGACCCAGAAACAAGTGTCAGGGCTTTTTAAAGCTAGACATCGGGTTCGATCCCTGCGGTGGGTATAGCACAGCTAGGGCATTGTTCAGCTTTGCGTTTAACAACAAATAAACAAAACTGTTGCCTTTCCGCAACAGTGCGCTAGGATACACGTTCGAATACCCGTATACTGTCAAGTATATGACAGAAATTTCTCCAAAAATGGAAACGTGTCTGAAGCAGCCACTCTTATCAGAATGTCTGGATAACAGATTACATACAGCTGTTTTAAACATTTAAAGTCGTTTCACGTTATCCATTTCTAATTCCAGTTGGATCTTCTTATTTATTAAGTGCAGTAACCGGCGAGAAATGTAAAGAATAAGTTGTTCGTGGATAATAACTTCGTGCAGAACATACTACAGAGCTTACAGAAGGTGTCATATACTATAAAATCTCATACTAAACTGTTTATACACGAAAAACAGTCGGATATATTCCACATGTAACAGCTTTTCAGCCATATTGAGTATTCTATAATGATGCTGTAGTTTTTTTTTATTAATTGCATTTGTTGCAGTAACGCGTTTCTTTTTCATTTGCTCATATCATTCTTCGGTTGCACAGGGGTCCAAAGTGCATAAGGATAGTACATTCAACCTTTTTTTTTCTTCCAAAATTCCACCTGAGTAACTCAGCAGGAAAGATAGTTACTTTCGCCTGGAAACCTTTGGATTAGTTACAGGTCAATTTTGCCCCCGTTCCGCCTATCTGGCACGACTTGGCTAAACCTAAACAAGCACACGGTTAGCTAATTTACTGGAATTTCAACAGAAGAGAAACAAGCTACTGGAACTTAAATGGACGTCTGGCTTTCTTATCTAAATACTGTCATGTAACACACGCCCTGCAGATTTATGAGAAATGGAATCCAAAACGTACCAAACAAAGTGGTTGCTGGTATTATAGTATCTGGTTCGAATAGGCTGCAGGCTTGCTTAAGTTTTAGGCGATAACAAATCCTCGCCCACGATATAGTAACAATTAAACAAAAAACAAGCAAAAAAGCTTACAAAACTACTAGATTAACAAGCATTCGAGTTTGTTTGACGTAGGCTGAAACAGACTATTTTCACGATATTTCAGAAATTATAAAAAATGGAGACAACGTGTGTGTTTTTGTGTGTTATTTTAATTTCGTGCAAAGCTACACGAGGGCTATCTGCGCTAGCCGTCCCTAATTTAGCAGTGTAAGACTAGAGGGAAGGCAGCTAGTCATCACCACCCACCGCCAACTCTTGGGCTACTTTTTTACCAACGAATAGTGGAATTGACCGTCACATTATAACGCTCCCACGGCTCGCAGATTGCGAGTCAAGCGCCCTAACCACCTGGCCATGCCAGGTCTGCAGACAACGTAATAAAGAAATCTTTAATACTTTCACTATGTTTTCATAAGTTTGTGCCTACAACATGTCAAGTGAAATCGGTACAAAATGAAAGATGTTTAGGGTCGCCAAAGTATTTCTTCACCGGTCCATGAAACTGAACTGAAACGTCGTCCAATTAAATAGCTTCTCGGCAAGTTATCAGCACAAAACTGCGTGAACAACTGACTTGCAATGGCTAAATATGTAATTCAAAAAATTAATTATAATTACTCGAACATTTTCTTAAAAACTTACAAATGTTTATCAATCAATAACATTTCGTCATCAAAATGTATCTATAGATACTAACAAATGATTTAAATGCAACAAATTGTTAAGAATTATATAATAATTAGAAGAAAATCGAAGAGATATGGTCGATTATTTGTTCCATATTTTTTTTTTCGCAACACGAAGGACTATTTGCCACCTAATTTTGAACTGATGAACTGGAGAAAAAGCAGCTAGTTAAAAGCACACATTGAGAATTCTTCGACTAATCTCGTCTGACCGAATAATTTGGATTTGACTGTCATTCTTAAAGCACACTCTTAGCCCCCACAAGCGGAGCGCGATTTTGCGGCAAGGGAACACGAACCCTCTGATTCATGGTCCGAGCATACTAACCACTAGGTCACACCCGACGAAATGAGACGTGAATTAACTTAAAAGGATAAGCATGTTATTTAACTGGAATTGAATGATAATTAGAAACTTAATTTTCGTTTATTGAATTTTGTGCAAAACTAATCGGGGTGTGTTTGCGCCAGCCCTCCATAATTTAGAAGTGACAGACTAGAGGAAAGGCAACTAGACAATACCACCCGCCTCCAACTTTTGGGCTACATTTTATTAAAGAAAAGTGGGATTGACCGTCACATTATAACGCCTCCATGGCTGAAAAGGCGAGGATATTTGGTGACGGGATTCGAATTTGCGAGCCACAGATTGCGAATCAAGTACCCTAACCACTAGGCCATGCCAGGACTATTGAAATAGTAACACCTTTCAGATTTATGACATATATATATATAGTTCAGCCAGAGTAGTCTGTAGGTATAACTATCAAGTATGCAGTCATTGCACGTGGAACTACCAGCTTTCTTTTTTTTTGTTCTTCTTGTTCTTCTTATCTTGTCTGGATCCATTTATTTTTCATCGTCTTTTATGGAAATCGCGTGTTTTTATGGCAATTTTCAGAACACCATGGGGGCTAACTCCGCCTTTTCAGATAACCATATCCTCTAGAACACGTATGGAAACTGGCTACGTTGTGAAGGCTAAAACTCTATATAAAAAAATCGTAATCGTAAATTCACTGATGGTCTGCTTTAGGAGCAACCTAACAAAGCGTGGGCTAAACCGTCCGTTTTATGTGTTTGGAATCATCATGCAGTTTGTAAATATTAACTTTTAATACGGGTATGTAGTTTTAGTTACCATACGTGTTCCATATAGAAGATCTATATCATACGGTGGCACAGGCTTAACGCATACGTTCTTAATCATCAAATTACCGACTTGTTTTTAATAACATTAACTACCGGTGTGGTCTGCATATACATCTTAATGATTAATTTTTTACGTTTTTATCTTCTGTTACACACACACACACACAAAATAGAGGATGAAATTGCCCATGTTCTATAGAAAATATATCAAGAACGTAGGTTTCATTGCAATAGTGATGGTAGTTTTGTTTATTTTATTTTTTGTGCGATTCTGAAGTAACTAATAAATTCATGGATTCAGCAGTTTGGGGCATAAATAGTTTAGAAAAATGTGTTTTAAAAAGCTGATGAGGTACTCTGAAGTATACATTTCGAGACTGATGTGACTTGCAGTTATACCCTGAACTATACATTTCGAGACTGATGTGACTTGCAGTTATACCCTGAACTATACATTTCGAGACTGATGTGACTGGCAGTTATACCCTGAACTATACATTTTGAGACTGATCTGACTTGCAGTTATACTCTGAACTATACATTTCGAGACTGATGTGACTTGCATTTATACTCTGAACTATACATTTCGAGACTGAGACTTCTAGTAAACCGGAAACACCGTTAGTTAAGCATCCATCATTACAAAACTATGATTGCTAGACTCATATTTTCTTTTCATGTCCTGGCAATTTTATATATTTCTAGTAAGATATACAAATCAACCATAAATCAAGAAACATGTGTTTTGCGACCTACATCGTAATCTGGACTATCGAAGGCATTCTCCTTCTCATACAGAAACAATCGTATAATTATTGTTAATTTTCCACTTTGAGTGCAACAGTAAGTATGAGAATTGAGAAATCCGAAGCTTTTATGTTTATAAATCATTCCGTGTCTAATATAAATGTTTCAAGTTTTAAACTACAGGAATTACACCTCTATCTTCTAGTGTTCGAAGGGGAAGAATAAAATAAAATTGTGGACTATTAACATTTCATTCATAATTTACAAACTTCATAGGTATCTAAATAACTTTTATCAGTCACCAAATTTATTAACTGAAACATAATAACTTATTTAAACAGAAGAGTGTACATTTTGTAAGGCATTAATTCGTATTTGAAAGAAAATAAAAATTAGTTATGATACAAGTTTTAGACAAATGTTCAAGAACAAGTTGACAACTACATACAAATATTTACTGTTTCATATGTAACATCCGTAACTTTTCACATGTTAGGAATAGGATTTCAATATTTACATCGAATTTTTCAATGCAAGTGCTTGTGTACAAGCATATTCTTTTGAATTTATTAATACACTCTTTTGTTCACAATCTTTCAGACATAAGTGACAAGTCGAGAAAAAACTATGGGATGACGTCACTACTGCTCAAGCTTTCATTTATAATGATTGTTTGCTTGTAATTAAGCACAAAGCTACACTTGGGCTATCCGTACTCTGCCCACCACGGGCATCGAAACCCGGATTCTAGCGTTGTAAATCCGCAAACATACCGCTGTGCCACTGGGGGGCATTTATAATGAACTGATCAAGCTTAATGAAGATATTTGGTATGGAAACAAAATCGTTTTTAGAAAAAAAATGAGGGGGCGATAAAATATAGACAGATTTAACAACAGAATACACCCCCTCTTGTGTAAGCCATTGTACAGATATACAGGTTGTCCCAGAAGTCTGGATCCATAGGGAAAATATACATTATATTCTTAAAGTTAAACAAACACATTTCTAGTGTCAGTTGTACATATTTCAGGAAATAAAATACCCTGATGGCGCAGTATACCAAGAATTGATATGTGTATGACTGTTTAATGGCATGCAATTTGAATAATAAATAAATTAAGAATGAATCGTATATTTTTCGCTATGGGTCCTGACTTCTGGGGCACCCTGCACAACACTGAACTAAGGTTTCCCAAACCTCTGCTTAATCAGATCCTCTATATCTGTAAAATATTACAGCATCAGACGTTAAAGTACGAAAAAATGAACGCAACTGTTGACGAGATTAGGTGGGTTTCTATTAATTATAAAAATGGAAAATTAAAAATATGTTATATCTTTGCAAACGATTACTAAAGAATTGATCCTCACTCTTGTAACACACCCACAGCTTATAGAGCCTTGTTCATCAGTATTTGGTGGCTAGAAAAACACTAATTCACATACGACCATAATTATATTATAGGCAAGTCCCAGACATACGTTGGTCCATCAGTGTCATCCTCGGTTGTCCCAAATAACAATTCAAATTGAAACATACATAAAAAAGTCTGTTAAATTAAACAATGGGTAATAACAAATCTTAAAGTTTACCAAGTTGAAATATATCTATAATTTGCGAGAGGTCAACAAAGCAGACTGTCAAAAAAGTTATTTAAATTGTAACATTGTTAACAGCACACTTATAACAAGCACTAAGTCAACAAAGCATACTATCAAAAAGATTATTTAATTTGTAGTATTGTCAATAACACATTTATAACAAGTCCTAAGTCAACAAAGCAGACTATCAAAAAAGGTTATTTAAATTTTAACATTGTTAACAGTACATTTATAACAAGCACTAAGTCAACAAAGCATACTATCAAAAAAGATTATTTAAATTTTAACATTGTTAACAGCACGTATATAACAAGCACTAAGTCAAGTAAATTATTTAAATTGAAGCATTATTTATAGCACATTTATAACAAGTACCAGCTTACCCTTTAACTGTTTCGCCACGTTCTTTGGTTGGATCTAGCCAGTGCTGAAACAGATAAA